GTACGACGCGCGCAAATAGGCATACGTATGGGTCGTCAGTCTTCAATGGAAAGTTTCGAAGCACCCGGTTGGAAGCCAGCCAGAGTTCAACTCAACATCCAATACGAATATATAATCCAATGTTCTTGATTACGAGCACAAGTAGGACTACGATGATAGGGCCGCACTGAACAGGAAATATGCCTATGACATCCGAATGATGGCTGCCACACAGTGGTATTTGTAATAGCAACGGGATAAATGCCGTGGCGAGTGCGATGCGGAGTCTGCGACTTGACCGCGTGGAAAGCTGAAACCTTCGACTGATTGGTGTGGATCTGTTTTCCCGAGGTTTAAAAGTTAAAAGATATTTTCCCTAGTTAAAAATTAAAATCTAGGAAGCCAACGGCTATCGCTTGCTAGGAAAGTACGACTTACATGTATAATGAATTATTGACACGAACAAAGAAACGATAATAGAGCACTTCACTCTAAAGCAACTCAACACCAGAGTATTGAACTTCCTACTAGATTCAAATACGGGTGACGGAAGAACAAGCGGTTGAGGATATGTGCGGACTAGGGCTGAGTGCTTATCAGCAATCAGGAGCAAGTGATGATGGGTGCATTTTAATTGATGTGACTGCCAATGGATTCAATACCACATTTTACATCCGCAGCATTTATGTATTTCTATAGAAAAGCATCATGTCTGTCAACAATAAAGTCGATTTATAGATACTATGTGAACATTAACTTTGTTTTTAAGTATCACTATTAGTTCGAGTATATATACTGTAATGTTTAATTATTAGAATTAAAGGCCCGTCTAGTTACAATATCTCCTCAAATAATATCACCCAGTGGCAGGCGGCGGGGGTGCCTCCACCACCGTCGCCAGACTCTTGAGCACATCACTCAGTGACCTCGCCTCCTCGTGTGACCGGCGTATGTTGTGCAGCAGTCCAATGCACACCACGTGAAAGTACACACACCCCGACGGTTGGCCCAAGCGCACCATACGCCCCTCCAGCTGCTCGCGTGCTGCGTTGTTCGACGGGTACACGCTTGTCACCATGTGGTGCATGGCGGTGAGTGAGTAGCCTTCCACGTGCCGCATGGTGGTGACAATGACGTCGTAGCTGTGCTTGTTCTTCTGTGCAGGTGGGTGTGGGAGTGTATTACGAGGTCATAAGTTCATGGGCGAGTTCTAATAGTGTAGTGGTATGTCTGTGTAGTAGAAGCATATACACAACTGCTGGTAGCGAGAGCCTTGCGCATGGCGATTCTCTGGCCAGTGCAATTATGCACCGCGCGTGCTGACTGGGAGGCGAGTGAGAGTTTCGCATTAGTGACTGCTCGCACTGTCCACTGCTTGCAAGAGATTTAGACACGAATGTGTACTTCAAGGTCTGATGGAACTCATGTGCAATGGCTGGCGTGGTATCCATCAATCCGCTGTCATACCAAACAAATGCATATGCAGCAGAACACTTCACGCATTTATATGTTTGAGGTGTTTGGTTTGATTGTTCCAGCTGAAATATTGATTCGTTGTGTCTAAGCTATATTTCAATGAGTGATTTAGATAGGTAACTGGTTTAGACTGTTTGTAGCTTACCCAACTAGCCTTGGCCAAAGTCAAAATAAGTATGTGTGATCATTAAGCATCAATGGTCAGAGAATCACATTTCAAACTACGTTCATGTACACAGATTGTACGCATGTACATACCTTCAACAACAAATATTAGTGCACGCACATCCTAATATACACATATAATATATTCAAAATATTACATATTAGTGGAATAGGTAGCGTTGGACTATTTACCGGCATCAAACTGATGGTAGACTGGCGATACTGAAAGGGTTAGTCAGGTGCAAACTGAAGACCTGCACAATGCAAGAACGCGCCATTCACACAAACACACACACACACACACACACAC